GGCTATTTGCTGAGAACTCAATAGTAAAACAAAAGACTTAAGCTACGAACTTGGATAAAATTGCCTTATGAGAACCACAGCAATACTTCCCACGATGCCCGTTCTATGGAGATGCCTGTTTATCAGAGGTGAATTTGTAAAGGAAAAAGTTTAAGGGTCTTGAAAAAGGGACCGCTTAATAGAGGCTACCGTCTCACTGTATATATGCACATGTATTTTACACACTATTCTATATGTATATACATAGAGAAATGTCAGCCCCTCCGAGTGTATTCGGCAGGGAATGTCAATCCGCCAGAGTGTATTTCTAACATGAAATAAAGCTCATCATGAAAAAACCATCAGCCGTTCGGAGGCGGCTAAGTATAAACTGCAAATAAATTAAACTTTGTGTTTATATCAATTACTTACACATACATACATTTATTTTTGATATGAGACAAAAGCCTACAAGAGCCAACTCTTTGCTGCGCCTAAAAGCAGGCAACAGCTGATGTCAACCAAAAATGGTTACAAGAGAATATCGAAAATATAGCATTCTTTTAGGCATTAATAAAACATTTACAAATACACAAACGTACAAGAAAAAGGAGATATTAATACTAATCACTACGAGGCTTACTATTTCTGGTAGTGGTTATGTTATATCTTTGCATGTCCTTCTAATAAGGCTAAGGGAAATTGTACAAAAATATTTTTTTTTATGTAACTTAGACAAGGCAAGCACAAAATGTTTTCTATTATTTGTTTTTTATTCAGAAGAAAAAATAAAAGTATTTAAAGTGTATTTACGGAAATTTGCTATATTTAAGTGCAGCATTTACTATTATAATTTTTCTTTTCTAATCCTTTAAAAAATTAGTTTTAGCAAAATTACAAAGTAAGTATTTGTATGGATACGAGGCAAATAATGCACAAGGTGTATTTTAATTAAAAATAAATATTTTAACTCTATCACATAAAAACACGCCCTATCAATACTTTTCAAATGGGTCAACTGCAGGTATATTTATAAAAAATAATCATACAAAAAAATTAATAAGGCAGTGAAAATAAAAATAAATTTGTCGCAGCATCAAGAAACGCGGTGTTGTAAATTTTAAGTTTAATTGGGATTAATTAAAACCGATTGCGCTGGCAAGTGAAGAGCGCACATTGCATTGCACATAAATGTAGATACATATGTATATGTATATTTGTATATACAATTTCATGCATTTATTTAGTACATTCATATCTATAAATATGCACACTTTAATTGCCATAAATGCAGACGTGCTTGGTGAGTATTTAATTTTGGTTTATGGACTTGTTAATTTCTGGTGACATATATGTGTTTACACATACTCGTATATAGGTACCATTGTTTTATTGCTGTTTGATATAATTATTTGAATACGTATACGTATACGTATATACATATGAATGTGTCGCATACAACTATAATTGAAAAATGACTGTGGCGTTTAAAAAGCATAACATTTCAATTAACTTTGCGCTCAGCGTGGGGATTGTTAATTAAACGTGTATTTGTCAAAAGATAACAAATTCATTCTGTAATATTAATAATATTAATTATGAAATGAAGCTACAAACTCCAGACTAATTTATGAGGCTCTCGGGGGGGGGGGGGGGGTTAATGTGTAATTTTCTTAAGGAATTTCTGGTGTAGTTGAGGGCGAGAGGAGCAGACTATGGTATAAAGTCGATAATCTGAAGAGGCAAAACGGTTCAACCGCAAATAAAACAACGATGTGTATAAACCATCCACAGAAGCTACCACTTCGGAACCATGACTCGATAAATGGACGTCTCTCCGATATCACCGATATGTTCAAGAAAGGCCGAAAGTTTCGTATGCTAACCAGAAACCCATAATCATCATTTAACCAAGAAAAGCTACTAGTCTAGATTTTTACCTGTATGCCCGTGGATTGTAATCCATGCTCCTAATGCTCGATGAACTATGAGTTGAATTCAAAATTATAACAAAAGCTTTTCCTTAACCCCATCGCCCCTGGTAAGGTAATATAAGCCCCTTAGGGTATTTCTGACATTGGATTTAAAGTAACACTCAGAAATTAATCCCGCAGGCGGCGTATAACTGTAGATCAAAAATTGAAGAACCAAATTAGCCAAGAATCTCTTCATCGAAAGCGGCAAGCCAAGCTCAAAAAACTTTGGCGTTATGTAAAGGGCGAAATAGTCTAAGGGGCATACAACCCGATTTATGAGCCCTGAGAAGAAATTTCCAAAAACTCAGCCCAGCTCCGTTGAGTCAAAGTAGAAAAAAAGATGCATACATTCTCTTCTTCAAATATTCGACAAATTTGGTCCACTCCACGGCGTGCTCTCTCTAGCCTTAGCAAACCTTAAGTGATAGTTGGCATTCATCTTCTCAACTTTTCGAACATTTTGAACGTGAGGAGAACATTTTATTTATAATTAAAATTAAAATACACAGAATTATTGCGCGTCACAACAAAGCAGCGGATGGTGGTCGCTAGCAGTCCAGTGCAGCCACTTAATACCAATACCACCCACTGTTATGGGCGCTTGCATAAGAGCTTTCAGCGCACTGACGTGCACTTGGGGATGCGTGAAAAAATGCAACCTCAGGCAGATACGTCAAATGCCTCAATTGCACGCAAATCACAACGACAGCGAAATATTCATAATCATATAATATTTACATACATACACACATATATTTAATGATTAAAAAAAAAATATGAGCTGAGAACAAAAGCAAGAATGACAAAGAAAAACAAATGAAACTTTATATTCAAAAAGCTATAAGATAAGCTTCAGTTAAAAAATAAACAATATCAGCATGCAAATAGTTTTGAATAAACGCAAATTGTTTAAATGAAATGCAATATTAGCGACGCAAGCGCGGTGCGATGATATCCGATGCTCGCACAAGCCTAAGCACAGGCGGCTGCAGTTGCGGCTGCGGCTGTGATTGGGGCTGCGGCTTGGCAGGCTTTTCGCGGATGTATAGGCGACCGTGGTGGCAGTGTTATGCCAGTCGGTAGCATTTAAGAGGCAGCGCTGCTTGCGGTAATGGTTTCGATTGCAATTTATAAACATTTAAACATGCAAATTTACACTTCTGTGTATTTAAAATAAATCTCAAATTGCACGGAAATGTTTCGGTGTTTACGCACACATCTTCCATTTGGACATAAGGTATGTCCCCACAGAAAACGAGACGGAAATTTGTGTTCCTCCTTCGCGTCCATCTGCTTTCCATGTCTCTAATTTCGACCGTTGTCTTAATAGGAGGACTGTGCTGAAATGCTCCATTATTAGGAGTTGGTTGGCCTACATCGAAAATGCATTTTAATCAAGAGACAGAATTGCAGTCACACCGAACCAACTCCGGTGAATAAGGGAATGGTTGACAGTCGGCAGTCTCGTTTTCGCGGGACAAAGCTTGTTTATAAATATACATACCCGCTTGCAATAGTGCCATCTTTTTTGTCATTATTCATGCAATATTTGCATTTTATCGTTTGGCGTCAATAATTTTGTGTTTAATTTCTTACTTTTTAAATTTTTTTTATTTTTTATTTTTTTGCTTTAAACTCAATTTGCTTTGTCATAGGAAACTGTGCTGTGCTGGAAGTGTTTATTTGCTTATTGTTGTTATTTATTGTTTTTCTTCCTTTTACTTCCCTTCTCTAGCGTTTTGGTGGCAATTATTTTTGCTATTACCATCAATAAGCAATAACAATAACATTAGTGCGGTAATTATTTACATCATTTTGTGTTAATTACAATGGAAGTTTGTGAAAAGTATAGTTTTTCATAGTTTCACAATGAAAATTTTAGCTTTATATGGAAATGTAAAAGTAATTTGTTTTCCTACAATTTATTGTTTTTTGTGCGAAAGATTTAAAAGGAATTGTGTAGTCATCGCAAATTACGAAAGTGTTAAACAACTTTGCAACACCTTATGTAAGCGTTTTTCAGCAATGAAGCTGTAACATTCTTAAAATATATGAAAATGACAAAAAATATATGTATAGGATTGTCCATTTTGTGGTTTCAAAAGTACAGTGCCATATTTTAAACTGAAGCCAGCTGACCATTCACAACTGTAGACGCCGATTTTCGGAATAAAATAATGTAATTAAAGAGAGGCCACTCCACCAAAAAAAACTTACTGTTCCGTGCGTCCTTTAGTTCGTAGGTGTGACTGGACTTTATTTCTTTGAAAACGACAACGCCGAGACTTTCAATTTTAACCAACTTTGTTGGAAAAGCAATTTAAGGACGCGACATGGTTAATGTGGTTTCAATAAGGTGTAGCAAGGTCCTACAAAACTCTGTTAAATATGGCTTTATTACACATACGTTAGAAATTTCTCGTCCGGGTAACCGAAGTCATGTGGTTTGACAAAGTTGGACTTCTTCAGAAATGCTTTGGACCCTCTTTGCCACCTTTGGCCAATTCGTTCTAATGGTGGGGTTTCCGAAGATGCTATAAGAGGTCCGAAAGCAAAAACTACTCTGCGCATATCCAGTTCTGTGCCAGTTGTCTTCAAATTACTCCGTCCACCGAAAAGTGTGATATGAGTTGATGGACAAAGATTGCTTCATTCTATATATATCCCAGGCATGAAGCATTCACTGTCACTTGAGCTTAGAAATTTTGTGTCACTCACCAGAAGCATAAAAATAATTGAAAACATACAAAAAGGGGATTTATAAGACACATTGCTTCAGCATACAAGATGTATACTTGACATTATTGACCTTTTGAAACAAAAAGATATGTCCAGAAAACCTGTGACCTTCGAAAGCCGGTTTTTTCTTGAATCTTATATCGATGAGTAGCGGAAGACCTCTCGCTAAACGCCAAAGAAATCAATGAAGACACATTTGATTAGATAACACGTACCGTTCAATAGCTCCATTTTTGTTATGCAATTTTACAACAACAACATAATAATAATTCTGATCTGCATCGCATATCTCAGTGCACCACTCACCTGCTGATTTGACTCATCGTCCGTTACCGGCAACAGCTTCACCGTACTGCCATTGGTAATATTAAAACTCCCATTACTCGACAGATTCTTCATATGTGGTGTAGATGCCACAACTGTGTTGGTGTAATGGAAATCATTACTGCTCGCCGCCTCGTGACTGTGATAATCGGAGATAATATCGTTTAGAGTATTGTTGCTACCGCTGATGGTAGTACCGCCACTAGTGCTCATACGACCTGAGGCAGCTGTAGTGCGTCCGCTAATTGTGCCATTACCAATGTGTACACCAACACCGCCCGGCCCTCCACCGCCACCACCACCATAACCATCAATACGACTTCTCAGCGTACCTCCTCCCGTGCCTGTTGTGGCAGTAATGGTGGATACTGTGGAGATGTAACTTCGAGTTGTTTGTGGTGAAGGTGTTATTGTCACTCCGCCTCTGCCACTGCCACCGCCACCGCTCTCAAGATGCGACGACGCGTCTTGACCAAATCTACGCATATTCACCCAAGACATGCGATTGTGTTGTCGACGTTCCATTGTTGCCGGATTACTATCTGCACTGACCAGCGACCCACTGCCGCCGCCACCACCACCGAATGGTGGTCGTGTGCTTGAATCTGCGCCAATCACATAAATGCTCGTCGCATTAGAATCTGTACGTAGACGCATGGGCTCTGGCACAGTTGGTGGTGGTGGTGTGGATGGTATGATTGTAGTGCCACCCAACTGTTTACGCGTGTTGCTGCTGCTCATCGTCATTGGCATTGCTTGCTGACGTTGTAGTTTCAAATGTTCATCGAGCGCTTCATCACTAGATCGACAACGGTATGTTGTTGTTGATGTATTCATGTTATTCTAAATAATCCCTCCAGCTAATAGAGAGTTGAAGTCTTTCGCGTTAATGGAAGTACAAAGAATCCACTGTTGGCTGATTTTCTCCCTTGTCCCAATTGAAGACAACTGAAATGATTGAAGATTGGAAAGAGCAAAAGTTAGTAATTCAAGTGAAGGCACGATAAAAAAATCTTAATAAAATAATCAAAATAAAAAGAGATTCATTAAATTCAAAGAAACATGTGTTTCACAACCTTTTATTACACCCAACGCACCATACAATTGTGTATAACAAGTTTGTTCACCTAACGGTTGAAGATGGGTTTCATATTGCGTACCCGATATGTTTTGCCCGATACGATAACTGTTTCGATTGTCCAGCAGCTTTACATTGCACAAAAAAGGAATAGTTTGAAGCCAATTTAAAAAGGCTGAGTACACAATGTGTGGGTGCTACATAAATTAACTAGAATAAACGTCACGGACCGAATTTTCATCTGCGAATCGCTACTGATTCCTCGACCCAGTCGACCCAGTTCAAAAGTGGATGATGACTGATGATAAAATAAGTGGATCCCTGGCAGCAATTTAAAAAAGAAAACAGTCTTACTCGAATGGCAATGAGCCGCCATAAACGGTCTCCAAGCCAAGATAGAGGACCAGAAAGGTTTTGTAGTATGTTTGGTGGGATTGGAAAGGATTCATACACTATGAGCTACTCCCTTACGGTCAAACTCTTAATTCGTACCTGTATTAGCAGCAATTGGACCGCCTGAAAGAAGCAATCGCCCAGAAGCGCCTAGTTTTGGCCAACAGGAGGACAGTTGTGTTTCATCAGTACAACGTCAGATCACATACATACATCTATAGTGACTCGCTAGAAGCATTAAGTCACTATCGTCTGCTCCTGTCTATAGCGAATAAAGAATTGGACTGTAAAAATCGGTTGCCCAAAATTTTTGCCAATAGGTATAAGGGCTTCCATGGGACAGACATGATGACATTATCTTCATTAATCCTTGAAATAGCAAAAAGTTATCAAGCGAAACCGTGCGTATTTGACATAAAGCAGATAATGCTATCCATAGTAAATAAAGTCTTCAACTTAATGCAAAAATAACGGATCAATTTTTACTTGACCGACCGAATATTCAAATGATTCATAGCCTAATGTCCAGACTCCGAAGTTCAATCCGTAAAGCACTGATTATCTTTCCCCTCTTTACTGAAGTGCAAGCGTCACCTAAGGCCTTGGACTTCACACCAACGCAAATTGGGAATTACCAAGCTAGAAGTTTGACACCTGGACATATTACTCTCAGTAGCGACAACATTAGTCGAAGATAATTCTTTTTATGCTTGTATCCCAACTTGGTGTCGGAAATGTCGATGAATAAAAGTAAGATCAATAAAAACGCCCAAAACTGTGCTGGGATTTTATTTTTAACTAGGCTTGAATTTTTCCTGGAGTTTCGAGGAACCGCATGATTGGTTTCATATCCCAGCAGAAATAATTATGAGGGTAGCCATATGACCTGTAGATCACACCATAGAATATGAAAGAAAGATAGAGATTACGAATTTTCGAAGATCGAGTATAGTATAGATGCTGCTCTCCACTTGCATACTTTTATTTCAATGAAGTGTAAATACTTAGCGCTAATATTATATATCCAACATTTGTTTCCACCAGTAGCTAACCCTCCCTTTATACTTCTACCGATCATACATTAACAATTCAGTGTAAATTTGTTTTTTATCTTCATATTAGCCAAAACAAAAACCAGTTTCTGTTTCCAATGATGATTTCAAATGAAATGAATTGCACACAAATCGCCCAACCATTCCGACATACATACATATGTATGTACATGCTCATAGCTCCGTGTGCCCGTAAGACAAAATGCGTATTTCTTAAGTTGGTAATCACTTGGCGCTGAAGCAAGCTGGGAGCTCGTTGAGTTGATAATGATGAATAATTACGTGTGATAGCTTCCTCTCTCTGTGGTAACACTCAAACGCACACATTCATGCAACATCACTTCAATGACTCACGCACTCCAAAGATATTTACTTATTTTATAGCAGAGCATGTTTGTAGATCACTTGTACCACCATCCATCCATCCGCCTATCTACTCATAACAGCTGCTTATCTGCTTCTGTTGTCGCCATTTGGAATTTCTTATACTAACAATAAGCAACAACAAACAATCGCAGTGACAGTGCTTTCTGAAAGCAAATTGTTTTCGAATTGGTCCCATCACTTTTACTATCACTTCAAAGATAATATCTCTTTTATATACCTTTTGATATGACAACATGCGCTTCTACAACACAGTGGTCACTGAAAGATTACTCAGAAGAAAAGAATATAAAATATACATAAATATTTATTTGTTTGCGGCATTGTTTGTGCTTGTTTTACATGATAATAAAAACAAATTGGGGAGAGTTGTATTGAATGTAATCTTAAGAGATAATTCACTAGCGGAGGAGTTGGAGAAGTTAATGTGATATACTTGAGTTTTTTGAGTTTACACGAAAAAATCATAGACTTCCGTATACATAAAAGAGGTATGTATGTAACTATGCCGCCTATAGACTTCGGAACTATTGAACAGATTTTGTTCTAATTTTCATGAAAGTTTTACGGAAACCTGGAAAGCGTTCATGCTAGGTTTGATAATTTTTGAAAAATGGATTTCGAAAACCTTATTTCATGCTATCGATTTAGTGCTCTCTTGCATTATATCAACATGAACAATAATTTTTCTTCAGTGAAAAACTGATAATAATAATTATAATAATAATAATATTATTATTATTATTATTATAATAATCGCACGATTATTATAATAATAATAATATTATTATTACTATAATAATAATAATAATAATAATAATAATAATAATAATAATAATAATAATAATAATAATAATAATAATAATAATAATAATAATAATAATAATGATAATAACAATAATAATTAAATAATTAATTAATAATAACAAAAATATAATAATAATAATAATATGTGGTTCGGTTCATTAATTTAATAGTTTTCGCTTCAAGGAAAGCCCGAAAAAATATTATTTGTCGATCGACTTTTTTTAAATGTGTTACTTTTCTCCCAGGAAGTAGACTAGACACCAACGACTTGATCTTTATATCATCTTAGTATACTACAATACTTCAGCGGCTGTGATATAATGCATCTCTTTTTTATTATATAAACCATAATTCAGTACCTGTATCATGTAAACGCTACAAGATGTTCACAAATACGAATGGCTATGATCTACGTAAAATACGTAAAAAATCATTTGCTGTTTGCTTGTTGTACTAAAACTCTAACCTGGCCCTATTTGGCTAGTTTCGATCTTGTGGCAGTTCAGGGAAGGCTTACACAGTTTTGGAAGAGGAGCAGGGACTGACCTATTCGAAAAAGTCATAGTTATGGCTGCAGTTACTTGAAGTCGAGGCATAAGTATATTTTTGCTGAGATGAACAAAAACTGAATATTTTCTTCCAGGAAGTAGACTGGGGACCAGGTTCGATTTGTTAGGAATTTAGTACGTTGTTAGTTTTTGTCTAAATTAACATAGACAATATTTTCTTTTCAGGATGTCAATTATTTTTATACGTTTCACGTACGTGAACGTAAGTGCAAACCAAAGTAGTGGTGTTAGGCTTGCTCCGAGTCATTCATATTCTCATTTTTAGATAGAACTCTGAGTAGCGAAAATGCACCTAAACTCTAACTACGAGTATATCTAATGTACACCTCTTTTAGTAGGTAAAAATAAATATTTTTTTTGGCATTTACATTTACATTTAAAAATACTAAGCTGGATGAGTAACATGATTAGAAATCTAATATTTTACACTAATTGAGTCTCTATTTCGAATTTTCAATATTCTTTACGTTTCACATCCCTTCTTTATTGTAATATATATGGAGCAAAACTCAGACATATATGTATATATACTTTATAGGAGCTTTCTATATTTTTATAATTGGTATTACAAAGAAGACGATAGGTAAAGAATAACGAAAAATCCTAGTTAAGCTTCAAATAATGCAAAATATTGATTTTCCATTATATTATTTATCTAGTTTTCTCGCTTCTCAATGTCTTCCTAGAAGAATATGAATACCTCGAAGTGAGCCGTGCGGCTCTACTTTAATCTAACGTTAAACATATGCACCTATTAACATCTCTTACAACCGCTATGGATTCATCAGCAGCGTCAAAATCAAGCCAACCCGAAGTCGCAGCATACGAATATGATACCAATTTTTATAGATTTTTCGATCTGTAAACATCTTTACGGATATAAAATATTCTAAATATTTAGACTTAAAGAAAGCTTCGTGCAAAATTTCACACAAATTAAAATAACTCTTTTCCAAAAATCGTTATCTAGTCCTGGAAAGGAATGGAGTTTCAAGAAAATCGAACCATAATTACTAAGTTTTTTTCAGTACGTCGGTGCCTGATTGACTTTCCGGATGTTACCAGGTAAATAAAATAGTTTTCCCTTGTATATTTAGTTTGAAATGCTTATAGAGATATATAAAGCATGGTGTATATTTATCAATTTTCAGATGCGCTTCATACTCGAGAAGCATCTATTTAACATCCGATAATTACTTTTACCAACACATAGTAATAAAGTTTAATGGGATTGTTTGTATACTATTCTGAATAATTGACGCCACCCGCGCACAAGCTCACATACTAATACCGAAAGCGTGAGTGATATAAAAAGTTATTTTTATCGTTTGCTACGTGGAACAAAAGCATTTTTTTTTCATTTATTATTTACACTACAACTAACGATTCTTATCAGCAAAGCAAATTGTGCATGCTTACGTATGTGGAAGAAGAAGAGTCACACACACATATTATTTGTATTTGGAAAAAAAAATTAGTAAAGAAATGAGCAATAATCACTTTCAAGGCTCTCTGCGTTTGAGCATCAATTGAAAGAACTTGTGCAATTGTTTATCGTTAATTATGATGTGTGAATAACAACAACAGAGAGGGTCAGCTTATAACATTAGGAAATGTACATATGTACATAAGTATATACGAATAGGTGCGCATTAATTTTTAAGT